AATAACCTGCTCCAGAACTTCATCCCACACCTGGATTAATGTAATAGCTGATTTCCCTGATACCAAATTCTCCTTATTCTCAATCATTTTTCAATGTCCCAGAATAACTAAAATCTAGTCACAATCTACCTTATTTCCTACTGTACTCCCAATATATCAAATTTTACTTCATTCAAGATTTTCCTTCCCACTCCAAATGTTCGTGTTCCTCTGTCCTTTCACACATTTGCTTGAGTTCTATTATGTCTTTGCTTATGTTCTTTCTTATGCGTGGGAAACCCACTACTTAGCCAAGACCCAGTGGAAGATCTATTTCTTTCACAAATCTTAACACTTCAACCTTAGCTCCTTCTACTTTCAATACTCAAAGTATACATAATTTCACAATTCTTTCCCATCATCTTAAAACATGTTCCCTTTCCCTCACTAAAAATTCCAACTGACCCTGTACTCCTAATAAGCTACAATTCCCGTTGCCATCTGTTTTTCTTTCTTATGCAACTTTTAAATGGGAGCTAGCACATTCTGCTTTCAGAATGAACTCTTTAACCCATACAGCTTCTGTTCCCTATGTCAACTAATCAAAGAGCTTTCTCAAAAACCAAGGACTTCCTCAGATTCTTTGTCCATTTTTAAATTGGATTCTTTATCTATTATTGAGATGTAAGATTTCTTTGTATATTCTGGATACAGTCACTTATCAGATATAAGGTTTGCGCCACCCACTAGGATAGTGACAATAAAGAAGAGAGACAATAACAAGTGTTGGTGAAACTGTGAAGTTGGAACCCTCATGCATTGCTGGTGGGAATGCAAAATGTTGCAGTCATTTTGGAAAATAGTTTGGCATAGCATGTAAATCATATGGGTTGTAGCTGTGGTCCCCAATCCCCAGGCCGAGGACCAGTACTGGTCTGTGGCCTCTTAGGAACTGAGCTGTGAAGCAGGAGGTGGTTGGTGGTCGAGTGAGTGATGGAAGCTTCATCTGTATTTACAGCCACTTCCCATCGCTCACATCACCACCTGAGCTATGCCTCCTGTAAGATCAGCAGCGTCATTAGATTCTCATAGGAGCATGAACCCTACTGTAAACTGCACATTTGAGGGATCTAGGTTGTGTGCTCCTTATAAGAATCTAACGCCTGATGATCTGAGGTGGAGCTGAGGCAGTGATGCTAGTGCTGGGGAGTAGCTGCAAATGTAAAAACTGTAATGCTCTTGAATCATCCTGAAACCATTTCCCCATACCCCTAGTCCCCAACCTCCCACTCCTCATGGAAAAATTGTCTTCCATGAAACCAGTCCCTGGTGCCAAAAAGGTTGGGGACCGCTGGGTTATAGTTTACCATAAGGATTACAGTTAAACATATTAGAAATATAAACCAGCAATATCCTAGAGCCAGCTTTAGTTATATATCCAAGAGCAATAAAAACATATGTCCACATATAAACTTGTATACAAATATTCATAGCAGTATTATTCATAATGGCCCCAAAGTAGAGAACACCCAAATGTCCACCAAGTGATGAATGGATAAATAAAATGTAGTATAACCATATAATGAAATATTATTTGATAATAAAAAGGAGTTAAGTACTGATACATGCTACATCAATGAAATTTAAAAATATTATGGTAAATGAAAAGTCAGTCTCTAAAGACCCTATATTGTATGATTCCATTTATATGAAATGTCCAGAAGGAGCAAATCTATAGAGATAGTAGATTAGTGGTTGCCAGGGGCTGGGGGGAGGGGAAATGGAGAGTGACTGCTAATGAGCATTAGGTTTCTTTTTAGAGTGACGAAATGTTCTAAAATTAGACTGTGGTGATGGTTACACAACTCTGTTAACATACTAAAAGCTATTGAGTTGTATACTTTAATTTTTTGCGTCTGTGAGATAAGAGTCTCATTCTATTGCCTGGGCTAGAGTGCCTTGGCATCAGCCTAGCTCATAGCAACCTCAAACTCCTGGGCTCAAGCGATCCTCCTGCCTCAGGCTCCTGAGTAGCTGGGACTACAGGCATGCGCCACCATGCCCGGCTAATTTTTTCTATATATTTTTAGTTGTCCAGCTAATTTCTTTCTGTTTTTTTAGTAGAGATGGGGTCTCGCTCTTGCTCAGGTTGGTCTCGAATTCCTTCGCTCAAATGATCCACCTGCCTCGGCCTCCCAGAGTTGTAGGATTACAGGCATGAGCCACCACGCCCAGCCTAGCTGTATACTTTAAATGGATGAATTGTAAGGTATGTGAATTATATCTTCATAAAGCTGTTTTTTAAAGAATTTCTTCCACATTGTACAGTATACATATTTCAAAACATCACATTGTATACCATGAATATATACAAATTTTGTCAATTAAAAAAATTTCTCTCACTTATAAGTGGGAGTTAAATAATGTGTACACATGGAATAATAGACATTGGAGGCCAGACACAGTGGCTCACGCCTGTAATCCTAGCATTTTGGGAGGCCGGGGTGAGAGGATCACTTGAGGCCAGGAGTTCAAGACCAGCCTCAGCTTGAGCAACACAGTGAGACCCCCATCTCTACAAAGAGTAGAAAAATTAGCCAAGCATAGTGGTATGTGCCTGTAGCCCCAGCTACTTGGCAGGCTGAGGCTGGTGGATTCCTTGAGCCAAGGAGGTTGCACGCCAATCCAGCCTAGAGGGCAGAGTAAGACCCCGTCTTGAAAAAACACATTGCCACACAGCAGACCAATGTGATACCTCCACTGAGTGTGGCTACAGCTCTGCATGGATTTGGGGATATAGACACCATGGAATCACCATGGCTGTTGTTGAAGTTTTGTACTCTATACTTGGTTTTTCAATTAAGTATAATGGTTTTTTTAAAACATGAGTTGAAGCTCTAGTTTTCTAGATCTTTTACAGTGTACAGTATTTTACATAACTGAGCTGTATTAAAAGCTTGTTCATTAAAAAAAAAACGCATTGGAGATTTGGAAGGGTAGGAGGGTGGGAGGTGGGGGAGGGACGAGAAATTACTTAATGAGTATAATGAACACTATTTGGGTGATAGCTACTCTACAAGCCGAGAATTCATCAATATGCAATATATCTACGTAACAAAACTGCACTCGTATCCTTTAAATTTTACAAATAAAAAAAAGTTTCTTAGCTGGGTATGGTGGCATGTACCTTAGTTCCAGCTACTCGGGAGGCGGAGGTGGAAGGATCACTTCAGCTCATGAATTCGAGGCCAGCCTGAGTGAAAGCAAGACCCCTCTTTTTTTTTTTTTTTAAATTCAGGTTTGAAATACATTTTCTTTCTCAGTACACAGTCTTGCTCCAGATTCTGTATACACACAGGTGGTTACGTGTACAGAATCCAAAGCAAGACTGAATTCTATCACTTGCTAGCTCTGTGATCTTGAGCAAGTTACTTCACATCTCCAAGTTTCCATTTTTTCACTATAAAATAAAAATCATAATAGTACCTAACATCTAGAGTTGAGAGGATTAAAACAGTAAGCACATGTAAAAATTTAAAAAACACCTGACAATCAGTAATTGCTGATGTTAGCCAATATTATTAACTATAAATAAACATATACACACTCATCCCTGTCCTTTCCAGATGTTTAGTAAGGTAAACAGATATATCCCTAAAACAATGCAGCAAGTATCATAATAGAGATATGAATGAGGTGGGACCTCAGCCAATAATGCAACTAATTACACCTGGGGAGACTGGGCAGGCTTTTTCTGAGATCTTTGAACTGAGGACTGAAGGATGTCCAGGAATTTCCAACACAAAGGTCAGGGAAGGGCCATTCCAGAGCAGATGGTCAAGTTTGTGTTGAAGCCACTTGCAGAAAGATAAGTTCATTGTCCCAGAACTTAGCATAGGGGAGAGAGGAGAGAGTGTTGCCAAACTGCAGATGTTGCTGGAAAGGTAGTCTGCAATTAGACGATCCAAATTTTCTCCACTGCTCAAAGGCATTTGAATTTTAACCTGTAGGCCAGTGATTTCTAAATTGAGCTGATTGTCAGGAACACCCAGGGAGCTTTCAAAAAAGATTCCAAGGCTCAACCTCCATAAATTATGTCCTGTTATATGTGGGTGAGGCCAATGAATATGTCTGAAACCCCCCCCCAGGGTGATTCTGCTGCTGAATTAGGTTCGGGGCCACTTACGTGGGGTGAGTCAAACAGGATTGCGCAATACCTTTTCTAAGGGAGTTAATTTTGCAGGATGGATCCTGAGCTCCTTCAAGTCTTTGCTCAACATTTAAAAAAATTTCAATCCTCCCTGATCTGTGTTTTTTTTTTACGCACTTATCTTCTAATGCATCATTTCGTTTACTTAACTGAATCCTTCCATTAGAATATAAACAGAACAACAGCAATGATTCTTCTCTTTACTAGTGATCCTAAGAGCCAAGAAGAGTCAAGTAGCCATAGCAGGCCATATAAATACATTTTTGAATGAATTAATTAAATCAACGAGTGGACGAAACGAGAATTTGGCTAGCAGGGAGCAGTAAGGAGGCTGTGGAGAAAAAAACCTGTAATCTGGTGGTGTTTGCTTAAAAAGGAAAAGGGAAGTACTGTTGGAGAGGGCACAAGTTTGAAAAAAATACTGGGATGAGGAGGAAGGCTAGTTTTTCTTTGTTTTCAAGTTTCTTTCCGGTTTCACGCCCATGCTTCCAGGCACAAAAACTCAATACCTACTGGGAACTTCCCACCTAGTCGCCGCCCACCTAGTCTTACATCCATCTGGCTTCCAAGCCGCGCATCCCCGAAATCCCGGAGAAGGGATCGCCGCTAAAGATGAGCGTCTGCGGGCCAGCGCACGACCTAGGGGCAAGCATGCGCAGTGCACAGAGTCCCGAGAGTGCGCGGGAAGCTGGGCCGCGTCCGTTTATGATTGGCTGCCGCGGCGGACTCCCACCCACCGACTTGCAGCGCTGGATGCTGATTGGGTGTATCCGTAGAGGCCGGACGCCCTCTGTGGGGCGAGGGAGGGGAGGCGGGAAACAGCATAGTGGGTGCGGGGTCGCTCGGCTCCCTCAGTCAGGCGGTGGAGCGAGGTTCGAAAATGGCGGTGCAGCCGAAAGAGACGCTGCAGCTGGAGAGCGCGGCCGAGGCCGGCTTCGTCCGCTTCTTCCAGGGCATGCCGGAAAAACCGACCACCACGGTGCGCCTCTTCGACCGGGGCGACTTCTACACCACGCACGGCGAGGACGCGCTGCTGGCCGCTCGGGAGGTGTTCAAGACCCAGGGCGTGATTAAGTACATGGGGCCGGCAGGTGAGGATGGGCATGCGCGGGCTCGGGAGGGACCCCGGGTCCCAGGCGGCTGCGGCGCGGCTCCAGTCTCCCCGCCCCCGCACCGAGAAGGGGGCGGCGAGCCGACTTTCCGGCGCGGGGGCGGGGACGTTGGTGGTGCGGTGTGGGGAAATCCGCTTCCCCCAGCCTTGCTTGGCCCAGGAGGGACGAAAAATTCGTGCCTCCTCAGGTGCCGAACTCATAACTAACATTCACGAAGTATTTACGCCGTGCCTGGCGTTTTAGTATGTTGTCTTGTTTCATTTCCCAGCAGTCGCGTAGGTCTCGCTTTGGCCTGTAGCTCTCATTACAAACATTGTCAAAATCTTTTATTACAAACAGCAGCCAGGAGTGAGATTTAGAATAGAGCGGGGTTCGGGAGAATCTGTCATATCACCCACATAATTTTGTCCACATGACAACTTGATACCTCCGGTCCAGTTTAGGTCCTGTAATGGACCACTGCTGAGGGGCAGTAAGGTAAAGTGGTCAGGACCATGGACTCTAGAGCCGAGCTGCTGGATTCAAGTCCCTACTCCTCCACTTATTATCGTGTGACCTTTGGGCTAGTCATGGAAGCTGTCTGTGCTTCGGCTCAGCATTCAGTGCCCTGCATCACCCGGCCCCATCTCCCCCTGCATCCTCCAGCAACATCTCTCCCTGCAAAGCTACAGACTTCTCATCCTGTGTGGACTAGATGTTCTAGATAGTTCATGTTGACCTCTTTTCTCCCTGGCTTTTTTGCTTTTTTTTCTAGTTATGATAATGGGAAGAGAATTCTGGGGGAGTAAGGAGTTGTGGGTTCTTGTCCTGACGCTGCCATGTGCAAATGCGATGTTACTGACAAGAGATGTTTCATTCATTAGATAGAAATTTATTGTCAGGATTATGGACACTGGATGAAAAGGCAATATTTCCACTTTTATAGAGCTCACTCTGTTGGAGAGCAAGGGAGACATAATTACAATTCAATTTGGAGATTTATGGAGGTGAGCTCCACAAGAAGTTGGTCAAGATGCTTAGAGGCAGGATCGCCCAAGGCCAGAGACCTCAGAAGAGGCGTGGTATGCTAAATTCCACTTGGAGTCATGGATTAGTTTGCTGTGGGAGAGTGCCTGAAAGGAGTTAGATTCCTGTTGCTGGTGTAGAAGATGAGGGTGAGGAGACTGGCCCAGGTGGGTGGGGTCAGAGGACAAAAGGCTTTTTATGTTGTGCTCAGTTGTTGGAATTTTACCCTGTAAGCAGTGAAAAGTATGAAGACTTTAAGTAAACATTGAGTGGTGTGTTGGATCGTTTTTGGCTATAGTGTGGAGGATGGGTTAAAAAGGGGCAAGAGCTGAGGTATAGCAACAGTTAAGACTAGTCAGAGATGGGGTGTGGTAGCTCACACCTATAATCCTAGCACTCTGGGAGGCAGAGACAGGAGGATCGCTTGAGGTCAGGAGTTCGAGACCAGCTTGAGAAAGAGCTAGACCCTGTCTCTACCAAAAATAGAAAAAATCGGCTGGGTGTGGTGGCAAGCACTTGTATAGTCCCAGGTACTTGGGAGGCTGAGGCAGGAGGATCGCTTGAGCCCAGGAGTTTGTGGTTGCTGTGAGCTAGACTGATGCCATAGTACTCTAGCCTGGGCAACAGAGCGGGACTGTCTCAAAAAAAAAGACTTGTCAGAGATAGTTGTAGGCGGCTTCATAGTTAACCATGGCCTCAGTTGCTTTTCAGTTTAAAATGATTATTTCAATCCTGTTATTCAAGGCTAGAGCACATAGCTGTCTTATTTTTGAATTCAGTTTAGAATAATTTTAGCATTTAGAGTGGTGTAAAAAGTTCTAAGCTACTGTATACATTTTATGATTTGGATCACTGATTTTTTTAAGCACCATTAAATATTCTAATACTTTTCGTAATTTAGATTATGAAAAGAATAATGGATGCTAAGTATTACATCTGTTTATTGGGAAGGGAATTTCGTATGGACAACCGGGAATCTTTTATATTGGAGCACAGGTTTTTAAAAAACCATAATGCCCCCTTTTTTGCCCTTGAAGAGTAAAATGTGAGTGTTTACCAGTTACATTTCTAAGAATAGAATAACTTAGATAGTCACCTCATCCTAATCATGTTGAGAGTGTGGTTAAATGTGAATTTGACTTTTCAAATAGATTAGCATTAAGGAAATATGAGTTATTCCCAAGGCTCTATTTCTTACAATACAGACTTATACCAAAGACATAAAGAGTTGTCCTGAGATTCAGGCATTATAATAAGAATTATAAAAAGATGGGAAGTTTGTTGCCAGAAATTGACTGAAATAACTGAAAAAGGGAGGCACTCAAAAATGTACCATGATTCCCAAAAGCAAATGTAACTAAGGATTTTTTATAACGTATATTGATGTAAGGTTGCCAATACTTCTTTTTTGGGAGGAATTTTTCTTCATTTTAGTATTATGCCATATGGGTAAATAGTTAACAAACTTTTCCTTTGCTACTCTGTTCCCCTGGAAACCTAATAAGATAAAGAAAGTTAGCTATGTTTCTAGGCAGCATTGCTTATTACAAAAATGACCCCAGATTGGTAAACTACATCTGGACTCGAGGAAATACAGATACCTAATAAGGACTCCACACTTTGAGCTTTCTAAATGCACTGTCATAATAACTGGCATGTTCTTGTGGGGCTGCTGGAAGCTGCACATACAGAGTGATACAGGAGATTCTGGCTCCGGGGGACATTAGCTTCTGAACCAAGGTAGCCATTTGGACCACCGATGTGGATTCTGCTTCTTGCACCTGAAATGTCATAAGGGAAAGGGTTGTGTGCCGAGAGGAATATGTGATGCTGCCAGCTGGCAAGAGATTTCTCTGAGTGGACTGGTATGTATGGTGATCTTCTGAGTCAATGGTTAGCTGAACCTGGTGGGCATTGTATGCACTTACTAGTTTTTTGTGTTAAAATAATCATTTTGTGAAATGATGGTTTTTAAAAATTTCCTTACCTGACAAATGAAAATGTTGGTAACCCTGAATTGGTACCCAATTTTTTGTTTTTGCTATATTTATTGAAAGGTGCTGATGATATTCGTAATGGCATTTATGAGTGTTTCTGGGAGAAATCTCCTGAGTTTTGTATTAACTCTGGCTTGGTGCTTTTGTTGAGTAAGTTTGTTTTTTTTATGATGTTTCATCATACACGTAATATAACTTACATGGATTTGAACTAGATGGGCTGATATGGTAACCAGTCGTTCTGGTTTGCCTGGAACTGAGGGAGTTCCTGAGACAGGGGACTATTAGTACTAAAACTGAAAAGATCTTGGGCAAACCATGATGAATTGATCGCCTCATATGTTATATAAAAGTGGGGAATAATTTAAATGGAGCCTGCCATTCCACTCTGAGGTTCTGATCTTGAGTGAGTGCTAGTTGGGACATATAAGTCTGCTGCACCCTAGATAGGCCTTACTTACTTATTGTTTTGTCTCTGAAAATGTGAGTACAGGTCTTGCTGAGTGGGATTCTAGAGTAAACGTAATTTCCATGCTACTAGCTTTCTAAATGCAAGCTAAAGAAGCAGTAGTCCATGCAAGTCTGCAAGAAAATGTGTCTGTCTTGAACTTACTTATTTACTTATTTTATTTTAGAGATGGGGTCTTGCTTTATTGCCCAGGCTGGACTTGAACTTCTTGAACTGCTGGGCTCAAGCGATCGATCCTCCCTCCTCAAGTAGCTGGTGATGTTGAAACCACAGGGAGTTTTGGCTTAGGTCCAGTTGCTCATTGCACAAAGATCCAATTATTGAGACAATGCAGATGGCCAAGGAAGAAAGGAATTTTTAATATGATAGATCTTATTGGGAGAACAGGAGAAGCTGCCTCAAATCTGTCTCCGACTAATGAAGATTCTGGGCTTTTCAAGGAGAGGCCATGTGCCTAGGGGCAGGTCAAGGGGGATGGTGAGTCCTCTCGGCAAGTTTGCCCTGGGGCTTTCAGAGTCTCAACTCCTTTGTCCTGCAGAATATCCATCATTTCTGGGAAACAACTCAGAAGGGAAAGGTCTAGTAGTTAAGGGAGAAGATTATCAAAAACGTAGAGGGGTCATTGAAATTTGTTCATGGAGCCAGTTACACTGGGACTACAGGTGGTATCTGCACACGACTTGTGTTGAATTTACTGAGCTGAAAACTGGTGGGAGTTCTTTTGAGATTGAGCATAAATATACCTGTCTGAGCATAAATGTTCCTGTAGTTCAGCAGTGGGTTGGAGCTGAATAGCTGCTCCCTCTAACTCAGTGAGTCAAGAGTCTTCCTCTGCCGCCCTCATTTGCTTCCCTTATTTTGTCATAATGCCCACTATTTTATATGGTCTCTGTTGGACCCATTTGTCATCTGTCAGCTCTTGTTATTCTTTTTTTTTTTTTTTTGAAACAAAGTCTGGCTTTTTTGCCCGGGCTTGAGTGCCCTGGCGTCAGCCTAGCTCACAGCAACCTCAGACTCCTGGGCTCAAGCGATCCTCCTGCCTCAGCCTCCCGAGTACCTGAGACTACAGGCACGCGCCACCATGCCCGGCTAATTTTTTTCTATATATATATTTTTAGTTGTCCAGATAATTTCTTTCTGTTTTTAGTAGAGACGAGGTCTCGCTCTTGCTCAGGCTGGTCTCGAACTCCTGACCTTGAGCAATCCACCCGCCTAGGCCTCCCAGAGTGCTAGGATTACAGGCGTGAGCCACCATGCCCGGCTGGCTCTTGTTATTCTTCTGTGTGGGCTCTGTTCATCTGTTACCTGCCTGCTCTCTGTAGATACTTCACTTTGCCAGTGCTGAATTAGATCAGAAGAAATGTTCTAGTAGGGACTAACCTAGAGATACAAGATTTGAGCTAGTTTTCAGGGTGTCTGTTGACTGAGGATTCCTGTCTGTTACTCAGCACTTGTCCACGAGGCCGAATAATGAGGATATGTGGTTTCAGGAGGAAGGAAAGAGAGTTTATTTGCTGGCAAAGGAGGAATAATGGCAGACCTTCTTATCTCAAAATCCCAGATTTCCTGAACATTCATGGAAATACAGAGCTTTTAAAGGATGGGATCTCAGCTTCAGACAATTACAGTTGATAATTCTGATCATCCTATCTCTGCTGAAGACAATCTTGTGACCTCCACTCATGATCTCCCTTTACCAGGTCGGGCTGGGCCATCTTCTGTTGCTAAATGTCCCCTAGGGAAGCAGAATAGCCCCCAGTTGAGAACCAGTGATCTAAGATAAAGACCAGAAAATTTGAAAACTCTGTGTTGACTGGGCAGGGGAAGTAGATTTACTCATACTTTATGTATTGTAGCATTTTGTTGTTGTTGGAGAGAGGATCTTGCTCTGTCACCCAGACTGGAGTATGGTGGCGCCATTAGAGCTCACTGCAGCCTCAAACTCCTGGGCTCAAGCGATCCTCCTGCCTCAGCCTGCGGAGTAGCTAGGACTACAGGTGCACAACACCATGCCCGGCTAATTTTTTTTTTTTTTTTTTTGGGTAGAGATGGGGTCTCCCTATGTTGTTCAGGCAACTCTCCAGCTCCCAGGCTCAAGTGATTCTCCCACCTCAGTCCCAAAGTCCTTGGATTATAGGCCTGACCCTCCATACCTGGCCTGGATGGTGGTGTTAATTGGCAAAACCAACCAAGAGGATAGTCTGGCAATATTTAAGAAAGTCACACATATCCTTTGATAAAATCCAGTTTAGATACTCACATTCAGTGAAGGAAGCATGTACAAGGTTATTCATGCAGCATTATGATAATTGCAAAAGACTGTAAAAACCTATATATCCATCAGTAAGAGACTAATTAAATTATACAACATCCTTCTAGTCATTGGGATGTTTGCAGCTGTAAACAGAAAGCACATTATATACTGATGAAACATTCTCTAAAATATATTAAACTTTAAAAGAAAACATGGTACAGGACAGTATGTATAGCATGCAACTATTTATGTAAAAGAGGAAAAAATGCTTTATATTTGCTCATGTTTGTGTAGACAATGTTTAGAAATATGTTCTACAAAGTGATAAATTAGGTTGGTGAACTGGATGTGTAGGGGATAGTGGTGAAAGGGAGACTTCACTGTACCCCTTTGAATCTTTGAGTTTTGAACTATATGAATATATTACCTAGAACATTTTGTGATGGATAATGACTAATTGATTTTTGTAGACCTTTTGAAAAATTAATTCTATTTTATATAAATACTATATAGTTTTTAAATAAGACTTTTATTCAAACTTGTGAAAAATAATAGAAAAGGACAAGTAAGGTTAGTTATATATGTATTTACCCATTATTTTATCTTTATATCACCTTCAAAAGTTTAGCTTTCGATGTACAGGCTCCATAGAAGTAGAGGGGCTATGTCGATTCGATATTTTTTTGTCTCACCTACCATAATCCCTGGACATATAATAAGTGCTTGATAAACAATTTATTGAATGAATAAATTACTGAAAACTCTATAGGGAGTTCTTGGGGAAGCATTGTGTTAGGTGCTTGAACATTTACTGCCTCAAATTTGTAATATGTGCTTGTAATTGTTTTTTTAAGGAGCAAAGAATCTGCAGAGTGTTGTGCTTAGTAAAATGAATTTTGAGTCTTTTGTAAAAGATCTCCTTCTGGTTCGTCAGTACAGAGTTGAAGTTTATAAGAATAGAGCTGGAAATAAGGCATCCAAGGAGAATGATTGGTATTTGGCATTTAAGGTAATTATGTTTTTAAAAAATTTACTTTTTTTTTAAGAGTAGAAAAAAATAGAAATGTGAAGAATTCAACTGTGCTTTAATAATTTAAGCAGGCTATGATAGAAAATGCTTTGAAAAACTTTAACAATTAAGCATTTGGTTTTTAGAAAGTTAACAGTTTAATAGCAATTTAGAAATTTCTGTGAATCCTCATTATAAGGTAAATTTTAGTACGCTGAGCCTTGTCACTGTTCCAAAAACAATGTTAGATAATAACGTGGACATAAAATTGAATACCAGCATTAAGCAAGGGTTTGATTTTACCATTTTTTAAGTACATCAAACAGATTTACATTATCTCGAATATCTGATTTATACACATTTGTCATATGTTTGTATCTTTGTATATAACTTTCTTTTCCAATACATTATAAATTTAAGTAAGTCTAGAACATCGTGAATGGTGATCATATTCCTTGGTGTGCCTAAGAAGGCACAATGACATGCATGCTTCTAATGCCTTTAAGGAGATAGTAGTGCTGTTGATTTTTGTTTTATTTATTTAATGTCTGTCTTCCTTTTTTTCTTATTAGTCTGTAAGACTATGTGTTTCTTTTTTTGCACACATAATACCTGCATAGACTATGTTATTAAGAAATACTGGAATAAATTAATGGTTAAAATTTTGGGGAGGTGAGATTTCTTCTTGAAAGAGAATGAATAAATGTATGGTGAGGGGGATGATGCTCTGGGCTTGTAGTCAGGTTTCATTTCTCCTCTGTTCATAATGCATGACCTTGGCAAATTCCCCAACCTTCTCCTGTATCTGTTTCTCATAGAGAGTAAAATTATAAGGTGTTTTTAAAGATGGTTTTTGACTTTAAAGTCCTATGAGTTTTTTATTATGAGGCTTAATATAATATTTAAACATTTGATGTTGGAGCTATGTCAAATACAGTATTTTTCAATCCTCATTCCATATTCCCTCTCCCCCCCAATTCCCTTGTAAATATAGACATTTACTGTAGGTTATATCTGGGAGAATTTAGCACCCTACATTACAGAGTTTCCAGTTTTTTGTTTTTTTTTTTAACAACTGGTAATCAACTTATTAAAACAGTTGACGTAAGCATCTGCAATAGTGACTTCAGCCTCTACTCCTGGCTCAATACTGATAGAAGTAATCTGCTTAACAATCTCAGAAGGACTATGCAAGTCAATGAGTCGCTTGTGGATTCTCATCTGGAAATGGTCCCAAGTCTTAGAACCTTCACCACAAGGAGTTTTTCTTGTAGTGATTCTCAAAGTCTTGATAGGCATCCGAACTGGTCCTTTCACTTTGAGGTTCTTTTCCTTTGCTCCTCTGATCAGGTCAGCACACACCTTTTCCAAGGACTTTACGATGCGGCTGGTTAGGGTAATTCTTATTCGGTGAATCGCCACCTCCAGCTCCATGGGTGTTTTTCCGGTATCATTAAAAGCCATGGCTGCGGTGCGGCTTCCTGACCGACTTGTTCCTCGCGGAGAGCGAACAGCGGTGAGTCAGGAGCAGAAGCGGGCACAACAGGGCTCCGCTGCACCCGTGGCCGTGTCTTCCTCAAAAAAAAAAAGAAAAAAGAAAAAAAAGCGAGTTTCCAGTTTTAATTGTTACTGTACTGAGAAAAGTGGGACTGACAGTTTTAGCCTATGTCTTGAAAGAGTTTAATGGAAAGTTAAGGGTACCACAAAGGGATGTTTACTATCCTGTTCTTCACAGAATTGGATAAATAACAGAAACAAAATGTGGAATCACAGGTTCAAATGGTTACCGTGATTATCAGCTGATCACACACCTCACTCCTTAAGTCATATCAGAATTCTTCAGAATGAATTTTTTTTTAACTCCCACCCTTTAGGTCAGGGGAAAAAGATTTTAAGATATGTATCTTTACCAAGTTAAAAAGATGGTGTCTTCATCCTGACATTTTAAGAAGTCCAGATATATAAACCGATAAAACTGATTAGTCTTTACTTTTATTAACTTACTGATTCTATTGGAAAATATTAGTGATATTTGAAGGAGTTGATTTCTATGATTGATTTCTTTTTCATGTTCTCAACAGTGTGTTCAGAACAGGAAAGGACCTTAGATAGGACCTCCTTCAGATATTACCAGCCTTATCCTTTTCAAGGATTCCCAAGAACCTGATTTTATTAGCTGCTGGTTCACTTTTGAGTGTTTTTTTTAAAGGTGTGTTTTATAACTTATGCATGTAAATCCAAAGCATATATGTGAAAAACAGCGTTTACATTTGCAGTTGAATCAGTGCTTTTTTTTTTTTCATTTGAATTTCAGATATGACTGTTTTTCCTGGTTTTTTGAGAGTCTCATTCTGTTGCCTGGGCTAGAGTGCAGTGGCATCATCATAGCTCACTGCAACCTCAAACTCCTGGGTTCAGTTATCCCTCCTCCTCAGCCTTCTGTGTAGCTAGGACTACAGGTGCACACCACCAAGCCCAGCTAATTTTTTAAAAAAATTTTTGTACAGACAGAGCCTTGCTATGTTGCCTGGGCTGGTGTTGAACTCCTGGTCTCAAGTGATCCTCCTGCCTGCACTTCACAAAGTGCTCAGGTTACTGGTGTGAGCCACCATGCCCAGCCTCCATTTCATTTTCGATTTAGATTTTAATCAACAATCCATAGTTGTAAGGGATTCAGAATGATGAAAAGATAAATGATTATCGTGATTATGATGCTAAAGACATTCACAGATGGCTACCGGTTGCTTAAATAAGGCTGTTACTTTGCTCATTTGGAGAACTGTTCGTTTTCTGTGACTATCTCATGTGTAAAACCATGGTCTATCAATTGCTCCAGAAATACCTGATGTTAACAGCAACCTATCAGCTTCTAATTGGATTGAAGTATATAGTGTCACCCACTGACTTGACACAAGTTTGTGTCACCCACTGACTTGACAACAAGCTTAGTCAAAAGCAAAGAAACTTGGCCATTTCATTAGCTTGTGCAGTCTTAAAAAGATTTCTAACCTTTCTGAAATATAGCTTGAGTATCCCTTACGTGAAATGCTTGAAAGTAGAAGTGTTTCGGATTTTTTTTATTTTGGGATATTTGCATATGCATAATGAAATATCTTGGAATAGCACCCAAATTTAAACATGAAATTCATTTGTTTCACTTACACCTTATACACATAGCTTGAAGGTAATTTTATACAATATTTTAAACAATTTGTTGCATGAAATAAAGTTTGTGGTAAGTACTTATGTGTGGAATTTTCCACTTGTGACACCACATTGGTGCGTAAACAGTTTCAGATTTTGGACCATTTTTGATTTTTAAATTAGGGATGCTCAACCTATATTGAAAATAGGTCAAGGACCCTTTATTTGGAAATCACTGATCCAGAACACTCTCTGCATTTTACAGATAAATATATTGATTTTAGAGAGGTGACGTTCCCAGTTCAATATTTAAGCTAATAATACTGTTCTCCTACATTATATAGCTCCTCAGCGAGAATACTGATAATGAGCAACCATTAGGTAGTTTGAGAATATAGAAATTTAAGCATAGCACTAACAGGATTACCAGTGTGAGTATCTTAATGATTATGTGTATAAGCACAGCTGCCAGATTTCAAATTGAAAATCACTTTTGATAGTTATTTTTAGATGTGCCCAAGTGTTCTGAAAATAATTGGAAACAGAAGGAGAATGCTTTATAGAAAATGTAATAATTAGAATATATGGTTATAAGCAATTTTTTTTGGTAAGAAAACTTTAATAAAATTCATCAAGATTGGGTAATTCTTGTTTGCTAGTAAAATTTTAAAGTATGTTCAGTTTCTTAAAAATTTTTATTTTTGTTTAGGCTTCTCCTGGCAATCTATCTCAGTTTGAAGACATTCTCTTTGGTAACAATGATATGTCAGCTTCCATTGGTGTTGTGGGTGTTAAAATGTCCACAGTTGATGGCCAGAGGCAGGTTGGAGTTGGGTATGTGGATTCCATACAAAGGAAGCTAGGACTGTGTGAGTTCCCTGACAATGATCAGTTCTCCAATCTTGAGGCTCTCCTGATTCAGATTGGACCAAAGGAATGTGTTTTACCAGGAGGAGAGACTGCTGGAGACATGGGGAAACTGAGGCAGGTAAGGGAATCAAGTCTAGTGATAGAGAATCTAAGTCTAGGAAAGACTCTTTAATTAACGTGATAACTCTTTTATTTAAGGAAAAAAATTAAAAAGTCAAATTTTTGTATATAATTAAAATGTTTTATTTTGAGGAATAAAATAATGATGTTTATCTTTGATGAAAACTTTATATACCTTTAATTATACATTAGAACAAGCTGTTTCTTGTATGACTTATTCTACTTCAGATCTTTTCTCTTCTCTCCTTCCCTTTCTCCCTCCCTCCCCGTCTTACTTTGTTTCAAAAGAATAATTACTATAGAAAATATTACTGTATTTAGCATGTCAAACAAATTAGATTTGTCAAATAAGATGCAGTTCTTTAGGATTTTTTTTGATAGTTTGAGTGGAACTTTACTCTCTTATTTTACTGATTGTATGGGTATATAGTTTATTATTTAGATATTTCTTAAGGGATATTGTATCCCCCAAGGATTCTTTTCTTTTTGTGGGTCTCAAATATCATAAGCACTGCTGTGCAAATCTATGATGGTCATTTTTATTTATTTATTTATTTATTTTCTTTGAGACAGAGTCTCACTTTGTTGCCCTGGCTAGAGTGAGTGCCGTGGCATTGGCCTAGCTCACAGCAACCTCTAACTCCTGGGCTCAAGTGATCCTACTGCCTCAGCCTCCCGAGTAGCTGGGATTACAGGCATGTGCCACCATGCCCGGCTAATTTTTTCTACATATTTTTAGTTGTCCATTTTTTTTTTTTAGTAGAGAGGGGTCTCGCTCTTGCTCAGGCTGGTCTTGAACTCCTGAGCTCAAACAATCCGCCCGCCTCGGCCTCCCAGAGTGCTAGGATCACAGGTGTGAGCCACCACGCCCGGCCTATGATGGTCATTTTTAGCATAGATAGTATCTAAGCAACTTTCCACAAATAATATTCCATTACGAGTTTTTACTGTTAACTATTTTTGAAAGCTTTATGTGAACATAATTTTATATTTTGATGAAGATTAAGTTTATAGATTTAAAAAGTATGTTAATACATGTATGTTACCAATGTCTTGCACATTGTATAAACCTTTAATGTGGGTTAATAATCTGTTAAGTTCTTGTCACTTTATATTTGTCAGTGTTGAAATTTTCTTTATTGCTTTTCTCGTTCCTTTTCCCATAGCAGTTAAAACTATTTCTTGTAAAATAGGTTATTCAGAGAGGAGGAATTCTGATCACAGAAAGAAAAAAGGCTGACTTTTCCACAAAAGACATTTATCAGGACCTCAACCGATTGTTGAAAGGTAAAAAGGGAGAACAGATGAATAGTACTGTGTTGCCCGAAATGGAGAATCAGGTATGTAGATTATAAACATGAATTTATTCTTAAATGATAAGTGACTTTTTAGAAGGTTTCTTCTGTCACATTTATCTCAAAAGCTAAACTGTGGATCAGTGATATTAAGCTTATGTTATCTATGATGAAGCTTTTAAAAAAAGCTCAAGGAAATGACTAGAAAAATTTAAACATAGCCTTAAATATAATCTCATTATATTTACACAATACGTATCCTGGGGTGTCGAGGGGTTTTAATAGTTTCACATGAGAAAAGCTGACTTCTGACACTTAAGTAGGTGAGATAGAATAGTGACTGGAGGGGGAAAAAACCTGTTTCCTGTTTCATCTTTATTATGTAGCAGCTATGGGGTCTTTAATAAATTACTTCACCTTTCTGAGAGGCAGTTTTATTATCTGTTAAATAAGTCTAAAAATACCTGCCTTAAAGGATTGTTATGGAAATTAGTAGGTAATAAGGGTGAAAGTATATACATATAGCACATAGAAATGCCATAATAGATATTACATCTAAACAGTTTGGCTCAGAAATTGGCATGGTTAAGTATGTTCAGTGGTAGAAATATGACTTTTATGAGATTTTTCATTGGTCGAAGTTTATCTTACTGGTCAAATTTTAGAGGTGGGAATGGCTTGAGAAATATATTGTTATGGTAAAATACTGGGCAAACTCTTATCTGAATATTTGTGGATCATGAATAAGTAAAATGAAAAATCTGTTTTATATTTAAACAAGACAAAATAGACTCTATAACTGCTTATAATTTTTAGAGTACATTTCAAACTGGAATGAGAAACTTATGACTATAATGATTTTGAAGTGATTGTTTATCAAGTACTAGTTTGAACCTTATAAGCTAATTTTATCTGTTTATATTTTACTATGTATTGTGAGACAATCAAAAACCAATATGGGGCTGGGCGCGGTGGCTCACGCCTGTAATCCTAGCTCTCTGGGAGGCCGAGGCGGGGGATCGCTGAAGGTCAGGAGTTCAAGACCAGCCTGAGCAAGAGCGAGACTCCGTCTCTACTAAAAATAGAAAGAAATTAATCGGACAACTAAAAATATATAGGAAAAATTAGCCGGGCATGGTGACGCATGCCTGTAGTCCCAGCTACTTGGGAGGCTGAGGCAGGAGGATCGCTTGAGCCCAGGAGTTTGAGGTTGCTGTGAGCTAGGCTGACGCCACAGCACTCTAGCCCGGGCAACAGAGCCAGACTCTGTCTCAAAAAAAAAAAAGTAGTACCAAGTATTTTAATAAATAGAATTTGTCATTGAGCTATCAGTATGATGTGTTGTATTTTATGCTGTAGTAATAACATAGGCAGTAGGAATATAGGTAAATTGAATTTATTTTGTTTAAATACACATATGGGAAAGTGCATATACCGTAAGTATATAACTGAATTTTCATAAACCGAGTATACCCACATAACTAACATCCATGAAACAGAATATTACTAGGAGCCTAGAAGCCCCTCTCATGCTTCCTCATATTCATTACTGCAACCAGGGGTAATCTATGATCACCTTGTTCTCACTTCTGACAGTGTAGGTGAGTTTTGCCTATTTTTATAGTTTATATAAATGGAATTACATAACATATACTCTCGTGTCTAGTTTCCTTCATTCAATATTATGTTTGTAAGATTTATCCATATTCTTGAGTAGTTGTGAATTATGCTCATATTTGTTGTTGTTTAATATTCCATAGTGTGAGCATGTCAGAATTTATCCATTTTATTCTTGGTGGGCATTTGGGTAATTTCCATTTTTGGCTGTTATAAAATAATGCTGCTATTCCAGTTAATTTTCTCTTCCTAAAAATCATTTTCTAATCAAGAGATTTATTTAAACTTTGATTTTCTTGGTTTGGATTGGGAAGGAACACTGAGGAAAATGATAGAATTCAGAACTTACTTTTATTTTGTGTTTTTTTAAAATCTCTAGAATTAGTCCTTGTGATACAGGGATCTTTTATTTTAAATTCTTAATTTTAGGTTGCGGTTTCATCATTGTCTGCAGTAATCAAGTTTTTAGAACTCTTATCAGATGATTCAAATTTTGGACAGTTTGAACTGACTACTTTTGACTTCAGCCAGTACATGAGACTGGATATGGCAGCTGTCAAAGCCCTAAACCTTTTCCAGGTAAAAAAAAAAAAAATACATGGTTACAAATATTAAATCATTAAAAAATGTTTATACTGACGGATCTTACTAAGGAACTTAAATATTTTGAAATATTATTATACTTTGAATAGATAAGTAGTTTTGAGTTGCTATAGATTTTTTCAATTTTTTTTTAAAGAAATGGATCTGGCTGTGTTGCCCGGGCTGGAGCACAGTGGCTGTTCACAGGCTACATGATCGTAGTGGACTACGTACATACATAGAGTCCTCCTGGGCTCAAACAGTCCTGCCTCAGCCTCCAAAGTAGCCAGGACTATGGGTGTGTGCCACCATGCCTGGCTCTTGAATTGCTATATTTTATTTTTCTAGTTTTGAGCTATATATACAGTATTTATCCTGACTTTATGAATAATTTTGTATGTTAATAGCAATTCTTTAAAATTACATTCTAAGATGTTTTATATATAAAACTGTAGTAAAGTGGGGTAAAATATTCAGCCTAAAATATAGATTAACAAGTTGAAAAGTTGGTTTGGCACTTTTGTGGCAATTTCTCATTTATTAATAATATTTGAAGACTATTATGTGTTCTCGTTCCCAAAATTATTTAATTACTTTTCATGGCATAGTAAGGTTTTCACTAATGAGTGTGCCATTCTTTCTATTTTATTTTTTATTCACTAGGGTTCTGTTGAAGATACCAGTGGCTCTCAGTCTTTGGCTGCATTGCTGAATAAATGCAAAACCCCTCAAGGACAGAGACTAGTTAACCAGTGGATTAAGCAGCCTCTCATGGATAAGAACAGAATAGAAGAGAGGTATATTATTAGTGTATACTTTTGTCAGCTTTAAGTAATTTGCAGTTATTCCATATGATTATACTACTTACTCTTTCTTTCTTTTTTTTTTTTTTTTTAATATAGAGACGAGGTCTCGCTCTTGCTCAGGCTGGTCCTGAACTCCTGAGCTCAAGCAATCCTCCCGCCTTGGCCTCCCAGAGTGCTAGGATTACAGGCATGAGCCACCTCGTCTGGCCTTATACTACTTATTCTAATATGCAATTTTGCACCTATATTTTTGGCATTTAGCTGCACAGAGAGCTACATGGTAATAGAGTAGTAGTGACGTAGATTGATTTAAAGAACTTATTTTTTTTTTTAAGTAAAATTTTATTAGAGAGGTGGTATGGTATAGAGTATAGACTTGGAAGCCCAGAATACCTAGGTTGATATTGTGTATAATCTTGGGCAAATCACTCAACCTCTCTATCATAGTTTCTTCACTTTTAATCTTCACTTTTAAAATGACAATAACTCATCTACTTCATAGGGTTGTTATGAGGATTAGATGATTTACTATGTATAAAATACTTTGCACTCCAGCCTGAGCAACAGAGTGAGAACTTGTCTCTTAAAAAGCAAACAAACAACTTTGAACAGGGTCTGGCACACAGGAAGCACTTCATTGTTCTAGAAAGGATTTAAGGTGACGTAAACATATTTTAGAAAATCTCCAAAACTGAGGAAATTAAAAGTTATATAATTTTGCTACCCTAATATGACTAGTGATTGGAAATATTTTATTTTTAGATAAGAGTTTTAGGGCAGGCATGGTGGCTCACGCCTGTAATCCTAGCACTCCGGGAGACTGAGGTGGGAGGATTGCTTGAAGTCAGGAGTTCAGGACTAGCCTGAACAAGAACTCAGACCCCATCTCTACTAAAAATAGAAAAAAATTAGCTGGGCGTGGTGGTGTACTAGTCCCAGCTACTTGGGAGGCTGAGACAGGAAGATGACTTGAGCCCAGGACTTTGAGGTTTCTGTGAGCTAGGCTGATGCCATGGCACTCTAGCCCCAGCAACAGAGCAAGAATGTGTCTGAAAAAAAAAAAAAAAGTTTTAAAACTTCTAGATGAAGTGTAATATATGTAAGAGCACAAATTTCACGTGTGTGGCTTGATGAATTTTTCAAAGTGAACACATCCATGTAACAATCCAGAAGTCAAGAAATGACATAACTAGCATCACAGAAACTCCTCTCAATTCTCCTGCTAATTAACTACTCATCCTTACTTCAAGAGTAACTACTGTCCTAATGTCATAGATTAGTTTGGCCTGTTTTTGACCTTCATATAAATGAAATCATTTTATATATTGTACTCTTACGTTAGACAATCTTTTTTCTTAAACATGGTTGTAATAATATAGTTCTATGCCCTATTTTTTTTTTCCTACTTACACTTTTATTATCACAAACATTTTTTGGTGTTTCCGTTTTATCTTCGGATCCAGCTTTTT